TGCCACCCCGCGTGCCTCACCGCCTTCAGCACGGCTTCCACGTGCCGCGGGGGCTCTCCTGGAGGGGTGCAGCAGGGCAGGTGGCTGCTCCCCCCGCCGTGCCCGGTGCCCCCCCACCACACCGGGGGGCTCCCACACAGCGGGGGGACAGCTCTGCTGCTCGGCTCCGCTTTGGGCAGGGGGCAGGACCCGAAGCGAGGAGCCCCCTGCGAAACACCGGTGCCAAAGAAGCGCAAGCGGGGCTCCGTGCGCACCCCGACCCCACGAAAAACCCTGACCCCATGAAAAACCCGGACCCCACGCTACACCCTGACCCCACGTCAAGATGCAGCTCCACGCAAACCCCGACCCCAATCAAAATCTGGACCCCACGCAAAACCCAGACCCCACTCAAAACCCAGATCCCACTCAAAACCCAGACCCCACTCAAAACCCGGACCCCACTCAAAAGCCGGACCCCAAGCGAAGCCGGGACCCCAAGCAAAGCCAGCCCCCAAGCAAACCCTAACCCCACGCCCCCCCTGTCCCACCCCAGCCCATCCCCACCCCGGCCACCCCCCGGCTCCCCACATCCCTACCTTGGGGCAGCAGCGCAGGGCGCTGCCGGTGCAGCCCATGGAGAGCCCCCGGCCGGAGCCGCTCAGCCTCGGGGCGCGGGGCGCTGCATCCCCCCCCCCAGGTCCCCCCCTCCCCCGGCCAACGGCTTCCTCCGGGGCTGTCCCAGCAGAGAAAGAAAAAAAAAATAAAAATAAAAAATAACAAAAATCCCCGAGGCTGCTCGCAGGCAGCGCCGGGAGAGGGTGCTCTGCGCCCCCGAGCAGCGGGCAGCGCTCCCCCCGCCCCGCTCCGCCGCCTGCCCGCCCCCGGGGCTGGCCCTGGGGGCGCATCTCTGGGATGCTCCGAGAGGAGAGGGGGGCCCCGCAGCGGGGGGGGTTGTCCCTGTGAGCCCCCCACCCTGGTATAAAGGGCTGAGGGGTGAAGGCAGCGCCCGCGCCGGGTTTTGCTTGTCATCCCGTCAAGTTTTGGGTCGTGGGGGGGGGGTTTGGGGAGGTGCTGGGTTTTTGGGGAGGTGGCTGGTGGTGGATGTGCTGGAGGGAGGGGGGGTTTTGGGGTTGTACGTGTGGAATGGGGGAGCCCCTCCTGAGCATCCCGAAGTGCTCCAAATGCTGGGTGTGGAGCCAGGGTGCCCTTTTCTGGGTGGAAATCCTGTGATTTGGAGAAGGGTCCTGAGGGGCAGCACATGAAAGCGTCCTGTCTAAAAACTGGGGGCAAAGAAGGCAGGTTCCTCCACGTGCTTGGGTTGTGATGATTTTTTTTTTAAAATCCTATAAAATAACAAACATTTCTAAAAGAAAACACATCCTGACCTTAAAAAAAAAAAAAAAAAAAAAAAAAAAAAGAAGAACACAACTTTGCCACCCAGCACTGCCGTAAAAAGTGTTTCAACCTGGTCACAAGGCTGTGCCCGTATGGAAACGCCGCCAGATTTTGTCAACAAGTTTCTATTCTGACATTTTCCAAATTTCCCCTGGGAGAAGTCCAAGCAGCCCGCAGGCTGGGCGGGTGACAGGGTGCCACCGGGGAGGTGCCGAGGTGTCACCCGCGCCTCGGAGGTGGTGCTGCTGCCCCGAGCTGCTGGGGTGACACCGGGATGGGGCCGGGGACACCCCCACTTCCCAGGGGACTTGTGCAATGCTTTTGGGATGGGAGGGTGGGGACTGGTGGGACCGGCTGGCTGCGTCCTCTCGGGTAGGTGCTGCGGGACCTGGGAGCAGTGCCCTGAGTCACGGCGGCTTCCTGGCACCGGTCGGAAGCACGGCGAGCATCGCTGCTCTTATCTCCCCAAAACCTCCTTCCCCAGCTCGCCAGGCTGAGCAGATCCTTTACGGGATAAAAAGGGCTGCAGGGAGCTGCTCCCCACCTCGCCAGGGTTAATTAAAAACCCAGAGCCAGATTTCGGAGGCTGAAGGCACGAAGCGCAGGCAAGCGCAGAAGCGCACGCATATTTTGGGGCTGAACTCACGCTGCTGGTGCCGTGGCTGCAGCGAAACAACTGCGTGCACAGCTGAGGAGAGCCCGGCTGCCAGCACGGCTGGCTGGGGTGCAGATCTCCAGCGGTGCGCACGCGTGCCCGTGGTGATCCGGGGTCACAGTGGGGTGCAGATATGGGGTGCACCGAGACGCCCCGCAAAGCCTGGATTCCTCTGGTTCATCCCCAGCGCTGCCTGCTGCCTGTGCTGCCCCAAAAATCTCCTGTTTGAGCTTGATTTTACCCATTTTCTCCAGTCTTTCCTGTGTGGGCTGCGCAGGATGCGCCCTGCTGGAGAGATTTCCCCTACCAGCCCCGCTGATGTGCTTCTCTCTGCGTCGATAATCTGCTCCCTTTGCAGGGTGGTGGTTAAACAGATGGAAACTCCAGTGCTCAGCTGCTTCCCAGCAAAGCAGGGGCTGTCCATGGGGCGAGGACCAGGACGTGGCCATGGGGCTTCTCCCCCTGTCCCTAGAAAGTGCTGCCGGGCAGCGTGGGGCGCTGGGCACACACGGGCTGGTGTCTGCAAACCACACTGGAGACGCAGGGGAGCGTGGCAGAGGGGATTTCTGCCTGTGCAGAGGCAGGAAAGCAGAAGCAGCGCGTGGCCAACCCATCCGGGGTGCCTTGGGCTTGTTTTGCAGTTTGCCTCGATGCCTTCTCGCTGAGAAATCTTTGGGACTCCCGTTAAGCGCCCCCCAGGCTGTGCCACCGGTGTCCCCCTGCCCCTGCCTGGGGGGTGATGTGCCAGCTCCCCAAGTGCCCATGGTGTGGGGAAAGAGCAGGGTGCAAATCTCAGCCTGGGTGGCAGTGCCGGGGGGGGAGAGCTGCTGCCAGGTGGGAAGGACGCAGAGGATTTGGCAGGGGGAATTGGGGTTGTGCTGGCCCCACCAGCTTTGCCCCATCCCAGGGGTGGCCGGGGATCTCTGCCAGGATTTCGGAGGTGGCAGGGACGCTGCGATGTCCCCGGGTTCCCAGGAATGGCAGTGACTGGAGACACCCCAGGGGTTTTGCCTGGAAAAGCGATCCCGGGAGGGTTTATCTCGTGCTCTGCTGAATTAGTAGGGTGGCAGCTGACCCAATACAGAGTTAATTTGTACCGATGGTGCTTCAAAGTGTTTGCCCAAGCTGATGGATAAGAGAAGCATTTGTGCGAGCTGCTCGAGTGTCTCTCTCCCTCCAGCTGCAGCTGGTGAGGACTGGGCAGGACGGGGTGGCAGCAGGGGGGGGGTGGTGCCAGCATGGGGGGGTCCCTCCTGGGGCTGGACCCCTGAACCTTCTGGGTGTCCCATGCGCACAGGGGTGGGATCATTCAATGCCTTTTTCCCCTCTCCTGCCCATTTTTTGTTTTTTCTCCATAAACCAACACTTCTGGAAAAAAAAAAGAAAGAAGGAAAAGGAGGAAGGAAAGAAGGGAACAAAGAGATTTAGCGGCCAGGAGCAGGCACAGGGGGATGGAGCAAGGGGCTCGGTGGTTGCAGCCTTTGGCCCTCTTTTTATTTGCTCTCAGATTGCTTTTGTAAAGGAGAGGCGAAGTCGCTCGCCTTGTCACTTATCTCCACGGCTGCTTTCCTTCTATGCAAATCAAAGGCGTTGAGCCAGAGCCGCCAAGCCCTCGTGACTTGGGCGCAGCTCGGGTGGGGGAGCTCGGGGAGCTGTGTGAGACGGGAAGGATCTCGTGGGTGCTGGGGCCAAAAAAGCCTCCTGGGCTGCTTCGGTGTCCTCCATACGTGGGGGACGAGTGGTGATTCCCAGGCACTCCTGCCTCTGCCATCTTCCAGACAGAAAGAGGTGGTTCCCTGCCACCACAGCGCATTCCAGACCCGTACACTCAATTCTCAGTTTTATTTTTAAATTTAAATTTAATTTTTTTTTTTATTTTAATATTTATATTTATTTTTATTTTTATTTAATTTTATTTTTTTACACTGAAAAAAAGGACGGGGATGGAGGAGGGAAACCCTCACCCACACCGGTGGCGAAGGGCACGGTGCCGGGTGCCTGCGCCTCTCCCCACGCATCTCCATCCCCGTTCTCCAGGCCCCCACCACGAAACCAATCCCGGGGAAAACTTTCCGCCCTGCTCCCGAGGAGGAGGAAGGCCTGCAGGAATGGGGGCTATTTATTCCTCGCCCTTAAGCCCCAGCAGGGGGATCAGGGGCGCAGTTGTCGCCGGGGGCAGCGCCCGTCCCATCCCCTGCCCGCTGCCGCGTCCTTCTGCGTGCTCCCGGCCGGCCGTGCTGCTAAATAAGGATGAAAAGCTAAAAATAGAGCTCCAGCAGGGCTGGAGGAACCAGGACACCCTTCCCAGGGCTGGGAACCATACGGGGAGCTTGGCCAGCATCTGCACGCGAGGGGAGGAAAGTCTGAGTCCTGCCCCGCTCGTGGTCCCCCCGGAGACTGGTGGGGAACGACCCCAAACTGGGGCTGGGCAGCGGTGCCCAAATGGGGGAGGACGGGACCAGGGGGGGTGTTAAATGGTGAAATGGGGGTGGGTGGTGGGCAGCGGGATGCTGGAGCAAACTGGGATCCCCCACCCTGCTGCAGCATGCGCGGCATGGAGCTGGGTCTCAGGTTGCTCCAGCTGCTGGGTGTCCTTGTGCCGAGCGAGGGGGGGGCACGGGGCTGCTTGTGCTTGGCCAGGGGGGGGCACGTGCAGCCCCTGTGCATGCTTGCAGATGTCTCAGCCAGCCCGAGCGGGGCTGGAGATGAGGGGTGGGAGATGGGGAGGTGTTCTGTGTGCTGTGGGTGCCCAGGGTACGGTGTGGGCACCTCGGTGTCCCTGCTCTGGCAGCCCCCCCCTGTGCTGGTGCAGGGCGAGCCGTGGGTGCTTGGGAAGGCAGCGCTTCCCGTCCTGCAACCCTGCAGCTCCAGTCCTGTGCTTGGAGAGAGAAAAAAAAAATCAAAGAAAGAAAAAAAAAAAAAAAAAGGAGGATGGGAAAGCCTGCGAGCATGCACAAGTGGAGGGAGGGGAATCGGGAGCTGGGCTGGGCGTGCAGCTAGCAGGGTGCAGCCCCGGCGCACAGCGTGTCCTGGTTCCCCCGGCCTCCCCGCTGCCAGCCCAGGCCCTGCGAGCTGCAGCAAAGCTCCTCGAGCCCTGTGGCCGGCCCTCGCCTCTCGCATCTCCCATCCCGGGCTCGTCTCCCCTGATTTCGGAGCAGCTGCCTTGCAGCGAGCGGAGGCGCCGTGGCCATGCCGGCAGCGGGGCTGGTGCTGGCGCTCTGCGCCCTGCTGCAGCTGTGCCCGGCCGCGCTGGGAGCCTTGCGGCCGCAGCTCCTGGTGGAGAGGAGCGGCTCCAGGAGGCTGAGCAAGGTGAGAGAACTCCCCAGCCTTCCTCCCCGCTCCCCTGGCTGCAGGGAAGGGGGGTCCAGGGGGTTTGGGGAGGCTTTGTGGGGGAGCAGAGGGCGGTGCAGTCGGTCAGGAGGGCTCTCAGCACGCCGCGGGGTTTTGCAAGGGAGCAAATGTGTTTTCTGACCCTGCCCGAACGCCCCGTGCAATGCCCGGGGTCACCAAGCAGGGCTGGGGGTGAGGAGGGACCCCACGAACCCCACCTGCAGCTTTTTGGGCACGGCTGCGGACTGGAGGTTGGGATCTCCCCATCTCTGAGCAGCCAGGGATTTGGGTTTGGATAAACCCCTCGGGAAGGAGAAGCCCGGTGGCCTCTTTTCAGCTGGCCGGGTGCTCGGTGCAGCCTCCTGGCAGCCCGGGCGTTATTCCTGCCCTCCGTGCGCTCTCCCACGCAGCGCCAGGCAGCAGGATCCACCCTCGCCGATTAAAACACAGAGAGAAGACTCCCTGGTAGCTCTGGGGAACCTCCGCATGACTTTCACATGCTGTGGAAGGAAATCTTTTATTTTTTTGTTTGTTTGCTTCCAATGAATCCGATGTTGCCTGGGGAGGGGGCAGCCGGGCATGACGGCCGGACAGGGCTCCGCAAAGGGGCTGGGGGCGCACGGCCGCACGCACCCACGCTCCAGCTTCCCCTCCTCCTCACCTCTGGGCCCTCAGCCCCACGGGCACGGGGCTGCAGGGGCTGCGAGCTCTTGCAAAAGCCCAGGACGTGCTGCCCGTGCCCTGGCTTGCCCTGCGCCCAGCTGGGGCTGCTCCCCGCGTGGGCAGTGCCGCCGCCGGGGCGGGCACCGGGGTGCGCAGCCGCCGCCACCGCTCGCAGGGCAGCTCCAGCCAAACCTGCTCGTGCTGCACGGCCCCGGCATCCTCCCGCCTGAGATTTCGGGTTTTCTATCTCTGTGGTTTGAAGCACCCCGCCTGCTCTGGCTGCTTCCACCTGCTCGCCCGGTCCCGGAGGCTGCCCAAGGGCTGGTGGATGCGAGGCGACGCATCCAGCGGGGCCAGGGCTGCCACCACCGCTGGCGCCGAGGGATTGTTCTGCTCCACGCTGTGGTTTGGGAGCAAAATGTGTTGCCAGCACTCACTGCTGGCTTTGCCAACTGGTGGAACATGAAGGAAATATCAGAGGGCTGAGCCCGGCCGTCCCCGTGAGCCCAGGGTGCTGAGCGGGGCAAGGAGGAGCAGCACCAGAGCATCGAGGTTTCCCGGTGGGCACGACCCCATTCCCCTCTCCCGAACCCACAGCAAACGGTGCAGGACACACAGAGGATGTCCCCCCATCCATGTGACATCCCCCGCGTGCGCCTGGCATCCCCTACACGTGGGTTTCCCTCATCCCACCAGAGCAAACTGCTCGCCAGGCTCCTCCAGACGCTTCCCCAGCACAGGTCCCCCAGCTGGCTCGGCGCCCGCCCCGCGAGGTGTCTGGAGGAGTGGAAAGGAGCACGGAGGCTGATGAGTCAGGCTCGTCTGCCTCTCCCGAGCACCAGGGACTGGGGAAATATTCCACCTCGTTTGAAGTGCAAAGCGAGAGCCGATTTCCCAGGGCAAGGCTGGGAGCTGCCCCAGCCCCAGCGCCGTCTGTGCACCGAGCAGCTCCGGCCACCGCCAAGCCCACACCGCTTCCTCTCACCTTCCCTTTCACAACCTTTGCTCTGCGGTGCTGAAACTGGTGTGAAAAATGATTTTCAGCTCAGTTTGCACGCCAGGCATTTCCAGGCTGACCTGGCTGGTGTGGAGACATCAGCCTGGGAACAGGGTTTTGGGGAAAATGCGCACGGAATGGGGGGTTGTAATTGCTTTCCGATGGGGAGATCCTGAAATGCCCTGAGGCTCGTGGGGTTGGGGGTCTGAGAGAGGAGGGGGAGGGAGGGTTTGGCTTTTTGAGGGGGCTGAAGGTCATTTTCTGCCTGCATGTGAGCAGGCGTGTTGGGGGACCAGCCCTGGGGAAGCCCCCTGCAGACCCAGGGCAAGGCAGACCCGGGATCTGACTCTTCTCGCCCCCGGTGCTGCAGGTTGGAGGCTTCTCCTGGGAGAACTGCGGTGAGGGGAAGGATCCCGTCGTGCTCCAGAGCCTCTCCGTGGCGCCCGACCCCATCAGCATCCCAGGGAACCTGCGCATCAGCGCGGCCGTGAACGGGAACAAGCCCATGGCCTCCCCTCTGAAGGTGGGTGCTGGCACCAGGGCGGGCAGGGAGCCTCGTGAAACCACCAGGAGCCAGAAAATGGCCCAAAATGAGCTGCCCTTTTTGGGGACTGGGCACGGAGCGGTGCCGGGCTGAACGTCCCCCGGCTGCTCCATCCCAGAACATGTCCCAGCCAGCCTGGCCGTGCTGCAGCACTTTTTGGGGACTTTGTGGGATGAGACTGAACAGGTCCGTGGTGCCTTGCTGCCCAAGGTGACCACGGTGCCTGCCGGGGCCGGGCTGTGGGGCAGGGGGCCAGCAGGGTGCCGTGTCCTCACCCAGCCAGGTGGCTCGGGGCAGCGGGGTTTGGGGAAGCAGCGGGCGCACGCAGAGCTCGGTGCCGAGGGGTGAGGTTGAGCCTGGAGGAAGGGAAACCTGTGGGGGGAGAGGAACCGAAAGCAGAAGGGGGAAGGAGGGAGGAGGCCAAGGAGATGAGGGCTTGTGCTGGACACGTAGACGTCCCAAAAGGTTTCTGGAGTGAGAGGTGGCTGGGGAGGGGGCGCTGGGGGCCCGTGCTGGTCGCACTGGTGCCGGACACCTTTTCTTCCAGACGGTGCTGGTGGTGGAGAAGGCTCTGGGCGACCTCTGGATCCAGCTGCCCTGCATCGACCAGCTGGGCAGCTGCACCTACGACGACATCTGCACCATCCTCGACACCCTCATCCCACCCGGCACCCCCTGCCCGGAGCCGCTGCTCACCTACGGCATCCCCTGCCACTGCCCCTTCAAAGCGGTACGGCCCCCAGGCTGCCCATGGGTGGTCTCAGGGAGGGTGACGGGGGGGCTCGGGGGGGGCCGTGCTGATACACCTCCTGTCTCCGCAGGGCTCCTACTCCCTGCCAGCCAGCGATTTCGCCCTGCCCGACGTCGAGCTGCCCTCCTTCATGACCAACGGCAACTACCGCGTGCGGGCGGTGGTCAGCAGCAAGGGAGAGGAGCTGGCCTGCGTCAAGCTGGGCTTCTCCCTGCAGTCCCAGTGAGGGGCTGGGGGGGGCCGTCCCTCCTCCCCCCGTCGCCTTTTTCCCCTCGTCTCATCTCATCCTGTCCAGTTGCATCTCATTCATCTCACCCCTGTCCAACCTCTCCCACCCCACCCCACGTCCATCCCCGCCTCTGTCTGCACCCCCCCAGCGCCGTGTCCCTCCCTGTGGTCCCAAACTAACATCTGAAGCAGGAGAAGAGATTTGGGCGAGCTCAGGAGCTTTCCCCAGCCCTGTCCCTGCAGGGAGAGTGACACCGCTGCCAGGAGGAGGCCCCCCCCCGACCCCTGCCCCATTTCCCCCTCTCATGCTAAGCACAGGAGGGCTCCCCGTGGCTGTCCCTCTGTCCCCAACCCCACCACCCGTGTCCCCAGCCCAGAACAGGGTGGCTTTGGAGCCTCCCCCCAGCCTGTTGGTGGGGCTTGGGGGTAGCTATTTTTTTACCTGCTTGCCCCCTTTTTTAAACTTTTCTTAATCTCACCAGGGGAATTTTAGAGAAAACAAAACAAAAGGAAACAAAAACAACGAACAAGCAAACAAACAAACATTCCAGGGAGAAGCAATATTTCTTGAAGCAGACCAAGGAAAGGAGGGAGCACGTGGGGAGGAGGCTGGAGGGATGCAGGGCGAGCTGTGGGGGCTGTCCCCACCTCTGGCCGGAGCACAGACGGGGCAATGTCACAGAAGTGTCCCCAGAGCAGCTGCAGGAGACCTGTCCCCAGCACGGCAGCTCCGGTCTGCCCTTGGAGCATCCCCATGGTGTGCGTGGGACCAGCTCGGAGACACGAGGCCCTTGTGGGGACACCTCCCCATGTGCCTGCCTGCGACAAAATGAGCACAAAAGGGGGGAGAGCCCCAAACCCCAGCCAGACACAAGGCACCAGGCGGCTCGTGCTGCTCCCAGCAGCCAGGGGAGGTGGCTGGCCACGGGCCACCATTGCTCAGGGTGGGACGTGGCTGTGACACGTCCAAGGCCAAGGCCAAGTCCCGCTCATCTCATTCCGCCCCTGGGACCAAGCCGAGGCAGGATGCTGCACCCAGTGTGGGATGAACTGGGGCTGCACCACCAAGACCAGCAGCCTCGGCACATTTGGGGGCCCTTCAGCTGCAGCCTGGGGGTTGCTTAGTGGTGTAGGGACTGGGCTTAGCGGGCAGCATCCATCCTGCTGCAATTACACTGCCCTGCACACCCTGACCCCGTTCTGACACCGGCCACATCCCCACAGCCCACAGGTGCCGGTGACCCCCTAACCCCCATCTGTGCCCCCCCCATTTGCTGTCAGTTCCGTGCCTGCTGCCGGTCCCCCATGCACTTTAACGCCTTAACCACGGTACGGCTGCCTGGGCAGAGCCTGCAGGAGGTGCCTCACCCCCCCGCCGTGCTCCCACCTCCTCCCGGTGCCCTGACCTCGCCCCGCAGCACCACTAACACCCCCCCCTCCGCTCCCTGCTCCCGGCTCCCCCCCGCCGGGCCCTTAATAAACGTTTGTAGGAGGACGCGGGGCTGCAGCCTGGTGGCGCTGGGGGTGGGCTGGGGGCGGGCCGGGAGCTGCTGCCCCCGCCGGGCTGCGCTCGGCGCTGCGGAGCCGCCGCCACCGCGTGGCCGCGGTTCCCGCCACGTTTTCCCGCGGTTTCGCCGCCAGGGCGCGCCACGGCGCTAGGCCACGCCCACCGCCACGCCCACCGCCACGCCCACTTGCCCGCACTTCGTGGCCACGCCCCTCGGCTTCGCTGCCTCCCCGTGCGCAGGCGCGGCGGAGGGCTCGGCCGGGCGGCGCGGTCAGCTGAGCGGGGTGTCACGTGACCGCGCGGCCCAGGGAGCGCGCCCGGCCGGGGCCGCTGCGGAGGGGGGCGGCGGCGAGGTGCGGGTATGGGGGGGGTAAGGGGGGTGTGGGGGTATGGGGTATAGGGGGGTGTGGGGGGGTATGGGGGGTGTGTGGGGTGTGGGGGATGTGTGGGGGGTGTGTGGGGTGCATGGGGTATGTAGGATATATGGGGTATATGAGGTGTATGGGGTATATAGGGTATAGGGGGTATATGGGGTACAGGGGGTGTATGGGTATTTGGGGGGTGTATATAGGGTGTGTGGGGTACAGCGGGGGTGTGGGGGGGTGTATGGGGGGTGTGGGGTACGTGGGGTACATGGGGGGACGGGGTACATAGGGTATATGTGGGGTATAGGGGGTGTATGGGATGTGTGGGGTGTACGGGGTATAGGGGGGTGTGTAGGGGGTGTATAGGGTGTGTGTGTGGGGTACCGGGGGTATATGAGGTTTATGGGGTACAGGGGGTATCTAGGGTGTGTGGGGTATAGGGGGTGTATGGGATGTGTGGGGTGTATGGGGTATAGGGGGTGTATAGGGTGTGTGTGTGGGGTACAGGGGGTGTATAGGATATATGGAGTATATGAGGTGTATGGGGTACAGGGGGTATGGAGGGTGTGGGATACATGGGGTATGTAGCATATATGGAGTATATGGGGTGTATGGGGTAGATGGGGTCTATGGGGTGTGGGGGGGCACCCTGCGGGGCTGTTCTAGGGGACAGGGGTGCAGGCAGCCTGTGGGGTGCTCGGGAGTATGGTGTGTGGGGTGCATGGGATGGAGTAGTGCACTGGGATGGGGTCTGTGGGGTGCATGGGATGCCGTGCATAGAGTGCATGAAGTTTGTGGGGTGCATGGGTTGTGATGTATGGGGTGCAAGTCCAGAACCCCATTGTGTCCCATTGGGATGTGCTGCAGGCAGCAGCGCGCCAAACACCGAGGCTGGGACACGCTGAGCTCCCATTTCATCCCATTTAGCCCAGGCTTTTCCTGTGGTGGCTGCATGTCCTGTGTGGGGTAGGGGGCCATCGGGGACAAGGAGCAGCGCCCGTACCCCTACACTGTGAGCCGCAGCAGGGCTGCTCGTGTAGGGGACCACGCGTGAAGGCGGCTGGGATTTGGGGTTGTGGTGCTGCCCTGCTCCCTGTAGGGGCTGCGTTCGGTTCCCTCGTGCCCGGCGGTGGCCGGGGCTGCTCGGCGGAGCCCTGCCCGATGACAAACGGCTTCCTCGCTTGTGTAAACTTCACCGCGGCTCCGGGCACCGTGACGTGGCCGGGCGGGGGTGATTTATGGGGTTTGTGTCCTGCCCTCGGCTTGGGAGCGCGGCTGGCCCCGGCTCCGCGGCTGCCCTCACACCGCTGCCGGTGCTGCAGGAGGGGAACCTCTCCGGGGCAGCGTGGCCGGTTGGGATGTGGAGCACACGTGGGGTTGGCGTTGGGTAAACGCCCTCGGTCCCCGTTTCCCCGCTGTCGGGGCTGCCTGCGGCTCCGGGCTCCTTCCCTCGCGTGACCCCGGGGGTGCGTGCGGAGCCGCCCCGCAGGAAGCAGAGCCCGGCTGCGGCGCCTCTGCCGCTTCCGCTGGGGGTGGGACGGGACAGGCAGGACTCGTCCCATTTGGGGACCCTTTGGGTGGCCCCGGTGGCACCCTGCGGAGGCGCCGAAGTCAGCGGGGCAGGAGGCTGGCCCTGCTGCGGCACGTGCTCGCCTGTCACCGTCACCTGCCTGGGGACAAGCGGTGCCCGAGCATCCCCGGAGCATCCTCCTGAGCCCCGGGAGGGGAAGGAAGAAGGAAAATCCTACAGGAGGGAGGTCGGGAGGCCTCGGGGAAGCTGGGGTGGCTGTGGGAGGTGGCAGGGAGCGGTGGCTCTGCGGGGACAGTGCTCGGTGTCTGCGTCGGGTGAGCTGGAGCGACGGGCAGCAGCTGGAGGATTGTTTCTTTTAGGAGATTTTAGGAGATTTTTGTCTTTGCCCTGCCTGAAGGATGAGGTGGGGGCTGCGCTCAGGGCTCTCCTGCAGCCCCGTCCTCCTCTAACTCCGTGGGGTTACTGCGGGGGGCAGCGGAGCCGGGTGCCCGGCGCGGTTCCCTGGTGGCGCTCGGTTTCCTGGCGGGCATTGTGCAAACGCAGGAGGAGGTTTCAGCCGAAAAAGGGTGCTGCCCTGCGGCTCCCGCTGTCCTCTCCGGGCTCGCTGCTGGCTTTGCTCTTCCCTCGGATGTTTTCTGATGTCTTAAGAGGAAGCGAGCACTGGGTTTGGAGCGGGCTGTGCAAGGTCAGCTCCTTGGGGTGCGTGCCGGAGTTGAAGCAACCCGTGGCTCGTCAGCTGAAGCCGAGGGGCAGGAGCTTTGTTGGGGGGTTTGAAGGGTTTTGTGGGGCTTGAAGGACTTTGTGGGGCTTGCAGGGGCTGGCTTTGGGCTGGAGTGAGCGTGCCGGGCGGCACTGGGCAGCCCCCTGGTCCCGTGGGCATTTCCATGGCTCTGAAACCTTTGGGGGGAGCGCCGTGCTGCCTGCATGGGGACTGTGCCCCAGCCTGATGGGGCACAATCAAATTTTCGACTTGTAACTATCAAAAAACCTAAAAAAGCATGTTAGGATCCTCTTTTCCTGGCCAGAGTGAGGGACACCCACGCGGGTGTGCCCGAAACGGGGACACCAGCCTGGAGGAAGAGCCGTGGAGTGTGTGGGGGGGAACGTGCCCTGGGTCCTTGACCTCGGGGCACGGCGGCTGGCTGATTGCTGGGGCGGGCAGCCCTGCCCTATAAAAGCCCTGCGGGAGCGCTGCCTCCAGCAGAAGCAGCCCGTCCCTCCCTACCATGGCTGATGCCAAGGAGCCCGGGCTGGGGGCGGTGGAGCTGGGCACCCCCGGTGTCCCTGACACGGCTCCGTCCCCAGGGACCATGTCCACGCGGCGCCTGCGCAGCGAGGACTACAACGACTACAGCTCCACGGACGTCACGCCCGAGGGGAGCCCCCCCGGGGGCATCAACGGCTTCGCGCACCCCGAATCCTACCAGCGCTTCGGGGAGACCAACGGCACCACGTGAGGGACCCCTCCTGCCCCCCGGGGCTTTGTTTGGCACTGGGGGGTGGAAGGGGAACAAGCGGTGGCTCCGTGCTGCGGTGCCGGGGGGTGGTGGCGTGGGGGGGATCCCTGGGGGTGGCGGGGGCTTTTGGTGAGCTAAAAGAGTGAAGTCTTCACCTCCAGTCCGTCCCAGTTCCTGCTGGGTTTGGTCTATAGGGTCTGGACCTCGTGTGTGTTTGCCCCAGCATCACGGAGCAGCGTTTGGCCCCGGGGCAGCACCGAGGGCTGCGTCTGCGTGCTCTGGGCGCGTGGCTTCTGCCCCGGGGTGACCTCGGCATCTCCCCTACCCCAGGTGGTACCAGACCCTGATCCACCTCCTGAAGGGGAACATCGGCACGGGGCTGCTGGGGCTGCCTCTGGCTCTGAAGAATGCCGGCATCCTGGTAAGGCAGCTCGCAGCCTCTGCGCCCGCTTGGTGCGCTCAGCACACACCTCACAATCCCCCTGGCCGTTGGTGTGCTGTGGGGCCACGGGATTTTACCCTCTGTGGGGTTTCTCCTGGTGGTTCCGCCCGTGGGGAGATCCGGGGGAGCTCTGGTTCCTCCTGCCTGGGTGCCAGGCGCTGTCCTGCACCCCAAACCCCGTCCTGCAGCTCTGCCTCCGGCCGTCAGAGTGCAGCCTGCCCCCTCTGTTCCCCCACAGCTGGGTCCTCTGAGCCTGCTGGTGATGGGCATCGTGGCCGTGCACTGCATGAGCATCCTGGTGAAATGCGCCCATCACTTCTGCTACAGGTAAGGAGCGGCTCCTGCGGCTCTCCCAGCCCTCCCTCCGGCCCCTGTCACATTTCTGAAGCTTCCCAGCACCAAGTTCCCGTGGTGAAGCCTCAGCCGGGCACCTCCTGGGGCTTTTTCACCACCGATTTCCCCGTTTGTGCCACTGTTTGCCACGGGAGCCAGCAGATGGGGCTGAAGTGATGCCTCTCCTCTCTCTCTCTGTGCCGGGCAGGTTCCAGAAGCAGTTTGTGGACTATGGAGGAGCCGTGATGTACGGGCTGGAGTCCACCCCCAGCGCCTGGCTGCGGACACACGCCGTTTGGGGAAGGTACCTGAGCCCCCGGGCAGGGGTGGAGGGGCTGGCTGGTCCCGGGGCTGTGCTGGCAGCCCAGCAGCAGGAATGCAAAATGGTTTTTGGCTCACCAAATGGTGTTTGGTCGCCTGGCCCCAGTGCTCAGTGTCCCCCTGGGAAGGTAACGCTGGGGGTATTTAATTTAGCTCTGCCCCCAGTCAGAGGAGTCCCAGGGGATGTGCACTCCTGTTCCCAGGTTACATCTCTGACGAGCGGTTTTTTTCTCTTTGCTAGGCGCGTGGTGGGGCTCTTCCTGATCCTCACCCAGCTGGGTTTCTGCTGCGTCTACTTCGTCTTCCTGGCGGACAACCTGAGGCAGGTGAGGCTTTGCTCCTGCTCGGTGAGCAGGCAGGGAGAGCCCCCTGACCTGGCTGGGAGGCGTGGAGGAGCCTGGGCTGTGCTCTACCTCCCGTGTCCCAGCCCTGCCTTTCACAAAAGGTCTGATTTTTGGGGCTGCTGCTGCTCAGGAAGGTACAAGTCCTGCGTTGGGATGTTTTTGGAGGGCATGGTCTGCCTGAGGGTCCTTGTTTGCTCCCTGTAAAGAGATGTCGGAGCTGCCTGTGTTGGCCGGGAGAAGCAGAGGCTCATTCCAGGGGAGGGAAGGCAGGAATGGGGTGAGAGAGGAGGAATTGTGCCTTTTGATGTCTTGCCCAGCTCGGCTAATTGGTTTATTGATACCCTGTGAGCGAGCAGCGTGTGATGGCCACCGGGACCTGGCGTGAACCTCTCCACTCCCTCGCTTGGTCCGGTTTGCATTCCAGTTTTTTGCCTCATCCCACGGCTCTGGAGGTTAATTACACGGTGAAGAGTTTCCTTCTGCTTGGCGTCGGGAGGAAAATAAACAGAAACCCTGAACCTGCCTGGCTGCCGGGCTGTAAGGAGCTGGCAGCAGCTCCGTGCTCTCAGCTCCGTGCCGTGCGGATGCTGCTGAGCACCGTTCCCTCAGCGTGCTCCAACCCTGCTCTTGCAGTAGCAGTCTGGTCCCTAGCACCGTGGCAGTGCCTCTTGTTAACCCTTCTCTGTTGGTTGCTTTGGGTTCATTTTTTTTGCATTTTTTTGGGTGGAGAGAGGGGAATGTTGCTTGTTTCTGTTTGAGGTGGGGAGCGAGGGTGCAGGTGGTAGCTCAGGCAAGGTGGCACCATGCTGGGCAGAGCTTTGGTTTGGAAACTGGCTTTGGAGCAACAGGGATCTGCTCCAAAACCACCTGAAGAGCTGCATGGCTTTGATTTGAGTCAGTCAGCTGCCTCTGAAAATGAAATGAGGTGGTCATCCCAGCCACCTGGGGTGGGCTGCCGAGATCCGTGGCTGTCAGACCTCGATGGGCTTCCTGGAGCATCCCTCTGCTTCCCCAGGTCGTGTCCGCTGCCAACGACACCACCACCGACTGCAACTCGAACCGCACGGTGGCCCTGACCCCCACCATGGACTCCCGGCTCTACATGCTGTCCCTGCTGCCTTTCGTGGTGCTGCTGTCGTTCATCCAGAACCTCAAGGTCCTGTCCATCTTCTCCATGCTGGCCAACGTGGCCATGCTGGTCAGCCTTGTGGTCATCTACCAGTACATCGTCAGGGTACGTGTGCTGTCGCTGCGGATCCCTGTGGTTTATGGGGTGCTGGGGTTGTGGTGGTGTGTGGGGAGGGTGGAGAGGGGCTGTGTGGTGCTGGTCCTCTGCTCTATGGGGAGCTGTGGGACCAGGCTGCGTCCTCCCTGCTGCTCAACTCAGTATGGGCTTTTTTTTTTTTCCAGGACATTCCCGATCCCAGCAACCTGCCCCTGGTAGCAGCCTGGAAGACCTACCCTCTGTTTTTTGGCACGGCTATCTTTGCTTTTGAAGGCATCGGGGTGGTAAGTCTCGGCATGTGGCATGAGAGGCTCAGCCTGCGCTCAGGCTTGCCGTGGGACCCGCTGTGCTTTGCAGCTGAATTTGCAGAGGAGCTTCCCTGAGAGCAGCCCAGGCTCTGGATGATGCTGTTCACTCCAGGCTACCTCCAGGGTCTGCCTTTGGTGCTTCCACCCGAGGCTGGAGGAGCCTGGCACTAGGTTGGGCTCCCCTGGGGGTGTCACTTAGCTCTGCTGGCTGCCCTGTGCTGCAGGAGGCATCCTGGCTCTTGCTCCAGGCTGAATCCTGAAATGGGAGGCCTAAAAGCACGGCACGGTAAAATGTCACCCACTCCTCCCCACCCTGCTGGGAGGCAGCTTGACTTCCCCCCAGCAGCCACGCGGCACGAGCCTGCTGCGGAGCTGGATTTCTGTGTGCCTCCTGTACCAGGTGCTGCAAATAGAGCAGCTGCGGAGAAGGCCGGGTGGGTGGAAGGCTTAATGGCTCGCTGAGATGCTGTGGGTTGTTTCCGGGAGCTCCCTTCAAAGGAGAAAAAAAAAAATGTTTTCATCTCTTAATATAAGCTGGCTATGTAAACACGGGGCTGCAGCGTGCCAAATCCATTCCAGGAGGAGTATTTACAGCATGTTCTGCCCAGGACAGAGATCTCTTGCTGGTAGCTTGGAGGTGGGGAAGCAAATAAAAGCTATTCTGGCCTTGCCACTGTCTCTCCTTGAAATCACCACCACCCAAGGACAGCTATAAAAATGTTTGCTGAAATTCTTTGAAGCAAGTGCTGGTAGTGTCAAGATGGGGCATTGTCCCTGCTCTTTTTTTTTCTCTCGTGTGTTATTTTTTTATTGTCCTGCCTGTTTGAAACCTGTCCATACAAACTTGCAGCGAGAGGAAAAAGTGCCACAGCCATTGCTGGGAAAAATAAGATAAGGGATTGGGACGGGCACAGCCGTGCTGCTTTGGGATGCTGGGGTGGGCAGCATCGCCCTGAGGTGCTGGGCTCCCGTGGGCACAGCCCCTGGCAAGGCACACGGTCCCTTTGCAAGGGCACAAATGACCCTGCTGGGGGCTCGCCGTGCTAAGCCCAGAGGTCTCAAATTTGAGCAGAGGGTCTCATCTCCAGTGCAGCAGGTCCAGCTGGGGTCTCCAGGCTCGGTGCGTAGGGCTGTGCTCAGCTATGGGGCTGGGGGTGCAGAGGAACAGGGGAAAACTGCTGCTCCATCCTCCTCCTCTCCCAGGTGCTGCCTCTGGAAAACAAGATGAAGAACCCGCGGCAGTTCCCGGTGATACTCTACGTGGGGATGACGATCGTCACCATCCTGTACATCAGCCTGAGCGTGCTGGGCTACCTGCGTTTTGGGGCGAGCATCCAGGCCAGCATCACGCTCAACCTGCCCAACTGCTGGTGAGTCCCTGCAGAGGGTCACCCCTTAGGTCACCTCACCTTGGGGGAGGTGGGGAGGGCCAAAACTGGCCAGAGGAGCTTGTCGAGATGTTGGATACAGCCCTTGGCATACTAGGTGATGTGTGAACAGCACCAAACCGCTTCTCTTCCCCAAACGAAGCACGTGGGAAACCTAAACCCAAAGCTGGGAGCTCCCGGTGTGGGGGAGACGTGGTGGTTTTGCCCCATGGGCTGTGTTTCCCTGTTTGCAGCCCCGGAGCTTGAACTCCCACTCCAAGCTCTGCACCCGGGCACCTCGCAGCTCATGGCGAGCTGGGGCTTTGTGCGTGGCTGCTGTGGCCATGAGGCTGCTCCATCCCTTAGGGGCCGAATTCTGCAGCTCCTCCAACCTGCCTGTCCTGCACGGCCTCTCGTATGGCTCTAGGGCAGCTCACACCAGCCACCAAGATGGGTTAGAAAATGGGGGGGTAAAGATGTGGGACTTGTGGGAACTGCACACGAGTGTCAGGGCAAACTCCTTTGCTTCACCTTCTGTGGTTCCCCGTGCTGGCTTTCACCTCCCTTGGCCACTAACACCCCCAGGGGTAGGTGCTGCTCAGTGTAGTGGCTCCCTATCCACCCTGGAGGAGAAATGCCAGCAGCTCCCCTTGCCTTTGTGACGAGAAGCGTGGAGGCTCTTCGGCATGCAGATGTTGGGAATAAAAGCCTTTCCCAGCTTGCTCCTCCTGGGAGTATTTGAGGAGGCCTTGCACAACCCCACCGCTGTTCCTTCTCACCACTCGCTGCTCTGGGGCACCTGCCTGGCAGGCAGGGAGGAGGCTGCGGAGAAGCTCGTGTCCTCCGTGTGCTGCTTGCCCCAAAGCATCTCTGTGTGTCGGGGCTGAGGTCTGGTCTGGATGCCACGAGGCTTCTTGGAAAGCTGTCCTGGGGCAAAACAGTTCCTCAGGATGCTGCCAGGCTGGTTAGGATGGCTGTGGAGTTTAAAAAGTTTCTCTTTGAAGCCTTCACTGGCTTGAAATCTGTCAAGAGACCGAAGTGAGAGTTTCAGCTGAAGTGGCTGCCCCCTTCCCCAGCCCCGTCCTCTGTTCGGTCAGCAGCTGCTCGGTGCTGCGCCCTGTGACTTGCTGCCTCCTCCCCACAGCCCGGGCAGATTTGGGCAGGACTCGGGTTTTTGAGTCACTGCTGGACTTCCACATCCTGGCCTTCTGCTGCTGCCCAGGCGTGGCTCTGGGGAAAGCAAGATCCTCTGTCAAATGCGTGTTTCTAGGAGTCTCTCTCTTTCTGTCCAAGTGGTTTTCTGGGGGGAGACATATAGGATTTCTTAGATATGGCCCTTTGGAAGCAGGGCCCTGGGAAGCCCCAGAACATGGCAGGGCTGCCCCTGGGCAAGGAGTGCTGTGGTCTCTTGTGACTCAGAGCATGAAACTCTTCAGTCATCGTGCCTGCTTCTTTCTGGCAAAACGTTTGATGGAGGCTGTAAACACTGCACTTGGAAATACGTTATCTGTCTTGTTAAAATGAGGGCTGGGAAACTCAGGCTAAAGCCTTGAAGGCTGTTTTCCCCTGCATGCCTTACCCCCTGGGTGATGGGTGAAGGCCTGCTCCTGACACGGGTGTTTTACCAGTTCTGCTTTGCCAGCGGGTTTTCTCCCCAGCAGTAAAAAAGGCGCCAGGCTGCAGCAGCTGGCCAGGAGGGCTGCGGGTGAGAAATCACGGGGCTTGCCTGCAGCGTGGGAGACAGGGCAGGGGTGGTGGAGGAGATGCTGCAGCCTTGCTCAGCCGTATCCATCGCCTGGAGGTCTCTAGGAACACGTCTGCCGAGCCTGCTGGCAGTCGTTGAGGTAGAGGATGACTAAGGACTTTTCCAGCCTCGTTTCTCTGCCACCGCAGCTTCCTCGAGCGAGGAGTGTGGCGGTTCCCGGTGCCCGGGTCTAACCACAGCCTCCCCGAAACGCTGTGCTGCTCTGCCGAAATCCTTCCTCGCAGCCTGGCAAGGTTGCCTCACCCCACCAGCTAAAAGGGAAGGAAGCCCTGCGGCGACGGGGGAGATGCCTGGTTGCGTACGGCCCGTTGGAGGTGTGTAATGCCAGAGCTTCCCGTCAGAGGAGGGTTTCCCATTTCTTGCTGAAATATCTCAAGGCACAGCTTGTCAGGATGACTTGGTGTGGCTCTCCAGGAGAAGCAGTGCCTCTCCAGACCCCACTTGCACCTGAGTTCTCTTTGGGTCAAGGCTAACCCTGGAGCTCTTCCCCTTCTTGGTATTCAAACTGCCCTTTGAGCTTGGTGTCCTGGCTCCTGACCTGTGCAGAATCAGGACCCAGCCTTACTTGGTGCCTTTTTTTAATAACATCTCTTAAAAAATGGATTGCCTTAGAGCGCTTTATTGCTTTACAGCATTCAGTTCCTGAGAACACAGCTCTGGGATGTGCAGAGTGTGGGATGCATGGCTCAAGGCTACCGTGCGCTCAAGTCGTGTGCGGTGCATGCTTGGCCGAGTGGGTGCCCTCTGCACTCTTCTGATAGCTTTGCTTTGTTTGCCTATCGAATCGCAGGATCATTTGGTTCGTGGAGGGTATCATGAGGGCATCGGCTCCAACCACCTACTCAAAGCACAGCCAACTTCAATCTTGAATGTCAGAAGGGATGGAGAGTCCCCACCTCCCACATTTTGGTGCTGAGCCACCCTGCTGGGCTGCAGCTCTGTCCTGCTGCCTCTGGTCCCCCTGCTGTGCAGCTCAGAGCCTGGCTTTGCCTTCTTGCTCTCCCATTAGGTGGCTGAAGCCAGTAACAATATCCTCCTTGACCTCTTTGTGCTGCACAAACGCAGCTCTCAGCCTCTCCTTACACATCGTGTCCTCCAGCAGCCTCAGTAGCTTCTCCTCAGCTTGCTCTGTGAGCTTCGTGTCTGTTTTGTCCTGGCAGGCTGGACACAGTGCTCCAGCTGCAGCTTTACAAGCCCTGATTCCTGCTTGGTCAGCATGCCTCGATTCGGGGAACAGGTAGGGCTGTAGCTGATGGTTACATGATATGGTTACAGATATCGCTCCTCTGTCACAGAGCCTGGTTCTGGCTGCCGGGAAGCTCAGGGCAGAGACGGGAGGGAGGTGTCTCCCTGGCTCTCCTGCAGCCACGCTTGCCCCCTGCTGCATTATGAAAACAGCTGCTCCGTAGTTCTGTGGAGGAGGCTGAGTTGCAGGTGGAAGTGGTGATGTGTGTGTTGCATTTGCTTTGTAAGCCCAGACTTCTGCTGGCAGTGCAGTCCTCTCCCTACTCAGCAGTAAGTGAAATCAGTGAAATATTCATGGCTGGAGCTGATAAGCCTCTTAGAAGGTGTTCTTTATCTCCTGTCTTAAGGCAGAGAATAAATTCCACCTGGCTGTAAGCAGGGAAGAGAGCTTTTTCCCCTTTCTTCAGCTCAGAAGCAGGATTTTTGCGGGTGAAGTTCAAGGGGACCATCGCCTCTGGGGACGGGTGACAGAAGGAACTTCATTCTGGGTCACCGACCGAGAGTCGGGGTTGCAGGCTGCAGGCAGTATCAGTGCTATTTGCTGTGTCTCCGGTGAGGGCTGTTTCCTAACACTTGAGTATCTGTGTTAGGAAATGTTTGTCCATGCTTGACAATCAGGAAGAAGGCCACCCCGTGGCACTGCAGACCTTGCAGTGTCATCCTGGACGAGTGGAGGGGGCAGCACGGAGCCCCTATCCCTCCGTTAAGTGGTGACAAACCTGGAGGATGTGTGACCTGGAGCGGGCAATGGCAGTGCTGCACAGGGACATCTACAAAATAGACGGGTGCCGTGATGTGTCAAGGGGCAAATTAGGCTCCTGTCCCATGGGCAGAGGCATATTGGCCATCCCCGTGCCTTTTTTTATTTTTTTTGAAGTGGCCCTTCACATCCGTGCCCAGGAGGTTTCTCAAGGGGAAGCAACACTTGAGGCCGCTGGCCGGCTGCTTCCTTACGCAAAGCCAGGGCTGAAACCTCTAATTAGGTGTGGGCTCAGAGGTTCTGCTATCCCTTGCACAAGAAGTGTCTCGGTGAAGTGAATGCATCGCCCTTAATTTGTCAAGAGCACGTTTAGAGGAGGAGATGGCTGGAAGGAAACAGTCCTTCTTGGCAGAGTGCTCCTCCTTTTTACTGTTGATGCCACGGGGTTTGGAACAAGAGTGAGTCTCACTGGTCCCCTCCTTCTCGTTTGCAGGTTATACCAAGCTGTCAAGCTGCTCTTCTCCTTTGGGATTTTCTTCACGTACGCCGTGCAGTTCTACGTGCCCGCCGAGATCATCATCCCTCCCCTCGTCGCCCGTGTGTCGGAGCGCTGGGGCTGGGTGGTCAACCTGCTCCTCAGGGTGGCCCTGGTTAGCGTGACCTGTGAGTAGAGAGCAGCCTGTCCCAGAGCCTTCAGCCCTCTGCCTGGGAGCGGTCTTCTCTGCAGAGGGGTGGCAAATGTCCAAATTAATTTAGAGGAGCTATACAGTCCCATCGAGCTTTATATGCCACGTCCCAGCAGCTGGTCTGGTGTGTGGGCAGCTCAGACCGGAGCCTGCTGTACCTTTGGAAGGGTGTGGAGCTGGCAGGAGACTTACCCAAGCCTCACGTGCTGGCTGAAACAGCACGGCTTGGAGGTGCCTTCTGCTCCTCTGGCTTTGAGCTGAGATCTTGGAAGGTTTTTCCAGGTGTCCTGGCCAGATCTAGAGATGTCATTCCTTCTGGGATGCCTCTTTGAGTCTTCTGGCTTTTCTGGGGACTGCTGGCTTCTCCCTGCAGAAGGATGCACAGCTTTTGGGGCAGTGCCAATGTACAGTCTGACACCGCTTATTGCTCTGCCACAGTCGTGGGAGGGCAGCGTTTGGACCTGGCTGGTTTGGGACCCCTGGAGATGGCTTTTAGGAGCTGTAGGTTCTCAGAAATGTTTCAGCCTCCCAGAGGGCTGTGGTCTGCCCTGACTCTGAGTCTGCAGCACTGAGGTGCAGCCCAGTGCTTGCTGCAGAAGTCATTTTGCACAGCTGCCCCTGTGCTTTTAAAGTTCAGCCCAACACATGATTTTAGCAGGCTGGGAAGGAGGTTTGACCTATCTGCCTTCTTAACTGGGAAAATATGAGCTGGGAAAGGTAGGTGTGTGGAAACCTAAGGGGCACCAGGTCACCGAAGTGCAGGGTTATCTCATTTTTGGCTGGCTTTGATTCCTGCAGGCTAAATGCTTGCTGTTCTCAGCACAGCTGAGATGCTTGACTGAGCTTCCAGGCGTCATCCACGAAAAAAAAAGAGCATTTCTGCACGGCGTGGTGCTGCTGATGCACCACAGCTGAGCATCAGAGGCCTGGCCCTGCGTTCCAGTGGCTCTGGTTTGGGCTTGAGCAGAGCGTGGTGCTGGCTGAGAGCAGGGTGCTGCTGCTGGCTGAGGTCTTAGAGAATATCCCGAGCTGGAAGGGACCCACAAGGATCATCAAGTCCAAATCCTGTCTCCACACAGGACCACCCGAAAATCAGGCCGTGTGTCTGAGAGCATTGTCCAAACATTTATTGAACACAGGCAGGCTCAGTGCTGTGCCCACGTCCATGGGGAGCCTGAACCAGTGCCCAAACACCCTCTGGGTGCAGAACCTGTCCCTAACCCCCAGCCTGACCCTCCCCTGTCCCAGCTCCATGCTGTTCCCTCGGGTCCTGTCTCTGTCCCCAGAGAGCAGAGCTCAGCCCCCCGTGAGGGAGCTGCAGGCCGCCATGAGGCCTCCCCTCGGCCTGCTCTGCTCTGGGCTGAACAAACGCAGGGACCTCAGCCACTCCTCACACATCTTCCCCTCCAGACCCTTCCCTATCTTTGTAGCCCTCCTTTGGGTGCTTTCTATTATTATTCTGTCCTTTTTACACCATGGTGCCCAAAGCAGCATGCAGTGCTGGCGGTGAGGCCGCAGCAGGCCAAGCAGGGCAGGACAACCCCTTCCCTCGGCCAGCCAGCAGGGCCTTGCCTGATACACCCCTTTGGGCATGCTGCTGACTCGTATCCAACTTGCCATCACCCCAAACCCCCAGATTCTCCATCCTCTCGTCCCCCACACTATGTACAACCGGGGTTGCCCCAGGCCGAGCCGTGCTGGTGGTGGCATCTGGAATGGTTTGGGGCCCAGAAAGCAGCAGGGCGAGGGGCAGGCGCCTCCCCCAGTCCCTTAATTGCTCAGAGCTCATTTTGAGAAGAGCCCCCTTTGATCTTTCTGCCTTTCATTTCCTCGAGAAAGGCAGGAGGAAAGCCTCTTCGTGTCCAGCCGGAGAGCGAGACCAGAGGCTATTGGAGGAGCTGGAGCCGGCACAAAGCGGGGCCAAAGTGCCCGCAGCGAGCGTTTGATCTCGTGTCCTGTCCCTGCAGCGTGGTGAGGGCTGAAATCCCGCTGTGCTCCAGCTCCCCAGTGCCAGTGGTCGATCTCAGGGCTCCCTGCAGGCCTTGGGGTGTGCTTGGCCAGGGGAACAGGGGGTTTGGTGGTGGGTTTAGGCAACAGCAGCAGTGGTGCCCCCCCATTTGGGGTGTGGAGGCAGCTGGGCGTTGGTAGGGGGGTGCTGGTTGCTTTGTACCTCCTCCCCTTATCTTTCCCCGTAAGAAATCGCCGTGGCTGTTGGCGAGGATAAAAGCAATGAGGGGGGGGCTGCATAAATATTCATCGTGTGAGCGCGTGGCCGCAGAACAAGCCCGCATCGTGGCTTTTGGCTCGCAAAGAGAGGATGCAATTTGGTGTAGGGGTGTCTTTCAAGCTTCGACTTCAAAACCAGCACGCTTCAGAAACCCTTTGAATGAATATCTGTGGAAAGCACGACCGTTGCCCCGGAGGCTGAGGGCTGCAGCTGGTACTTCAGCTCTGCCTGCTGTGGAGGGGCGTTAATTGTGTTTGCTTTGAGCCCAGAGAGCGGGGTGGGGTGGGCTGAGGATGCTGTTAGCAGCCAGCTGCTGGAGCAGGGATGCTCCTGGTGGCAGGGACCCTCCTGTCCCGTGTCCCCTCGCAGCTCTGTCCATCCAGCAACCCCCTGAACTCCTTTTGGGACAACTCGAGAGGGCCCAACGCAATGAGACCACAAATCCACCAACTAGGCTCTTGGGGAGCTTTTTCGGGCAGGCACAAAAGGTTCGAAATGCCCAGCAGAGGGCATTGCCCAGGCATTCCCCTATTTCTGCCTCCAGTCTTGGTGGTGCTGGCATCGAGCTGTTGTGTTTGAAGCGCTGCTGTGCCTGGCACGGGGCTGGAGGAGCTGGGTTTCCCTGGAGCTGGGTGTGCTGGTGGGAGCTGCCACTTGCCTGCTGACCCCCCTGAAAGTCCTTTTGCACTTTTCCCAGTGAGGCAAGCTGCAAACGCCGTTGGTGGCTCTGGGTTTTGTGGGCCCACAGCACCAGGAGGAGAGCCTGGAGCTGCTGTGGTGGCGGTGGTTGGAAGGAGAAGGCACCGTCCCCGTTCCTCCACCTGCCCTGAGCAGGAGGAGAGGGAGCACGAACAGTGCGGGGGTTTGCAGCCACTAATTGGAAGCTGGAAGGAGTCTCCCAGGGGGATTTTCCTTGGCTGCAGTTTTTACGGGACAAATGTTGCCCCTCCAGGCTGTGCTGGAGGTGCTCCGGGGGTGGGGAGGTTCTAAACGCTCGCAAACCACACGGATTTATTCAGGGGTGGGGGGGATGCGGCTTTTTCCTGCCGCCTTCTGCTTTCGTGGGTTTTCTGAGGCTCCCCAGGTGTGAGGCAGAGACCTGGGAGGTGCGGGGGAGCGAGTGCTGGCTCTCGTGATGGGGCTGGGGATTGTTCCACGAGCAGCATCCATTTGCTGGGGTCTCTCTGCAAAGTTCAGTGTGTGAAAAGGGCAGAGGCATCGCACAAGTAACAGCATCCCCGCGACGGCTTTGCCTGCTCTAATTGGGGTGAAAGGGGGGCGGTTTGGAGCTGGCCGTGCTCCCTTCACACCTCGCTGACCCTCCTGTCCTCTGCTTCCCCAGGCGTGCTGGCCATCCTCATCCCGCGCCTGGACATCGTCATCTCCCTGGTGGGCTCCGTCAGCAGCAGCGCCCTGGCTCTCATCTTCCCCCGCTGCTGGAGATCGCCACGTACTACGTGGAGGGCATGCACCCCCTGCTCATCGCCAAGGACGTGGCCATCAGCCTCATCGGCTTTGTGGGCTTCGTGGTGGGGACGTACGAGGCGCTGGTGGAGCTGGCTACGCCCGCGGCCGTTATCAATGGCACCAGCGTCTCGGCGCAGTGACGGTCCCCCCGGCCCCCCTGAGTGCTCTGCTGGGGGCACGAGGGACAGGTTGCCCCTGGGGATGCTCTCCCTTCTCCTCCTGCAAGTCCCGGTGGGTTTGGGATGGGGCTGCCTGGCTGGGGAGGAGGGATCTGGCCCTGGCTGGGGCAGTGCATGCCTCGGGGGAAGGTGACGCAGCAAAGCAGCCCCCTCGGCACTCCTGTAAATAGGTATTTTGGGAGGGGGAGGAATCCTGGGGATGTAGATTTTATTTTTTTTTAGATCCCAACCTTTCCGTATTTCCCCCATCCTTTCAGTCAGGGTGGGGAACAGGGACTGCTCTTCTCCGTGCCAGTTTTCTTTTTTCTCCCTTTCCCCACCCCCTCAGCACTTTATTTTGTGGCAACAGAGAGACCTCAGCTCAGCTTGGAGAGCGTGGAGCTGCCTCCTTGCCCCGGCCCCGTGGGGATGGAGGAGAGCAGCACTGAGGTGCGGAGCATCCCAGGGCCAGTGTGGGAGCCCCCAGCTCTCCCACGATGGCACCCCTGGGTGCGAGCACCACCGGTGGGCACAGGCTCCTGCTGTGCCCCCGCTCTGTTCCCAGCCCTCTCTGGCACCGAACAGAGAGGGCTGGCATGGAAGGGTTTTGTTCAATTTCCTAATGCACATGTCCCACGCACGTTTTTTTGGAAGCAGTAGGATTTCAGGTGTGTGGAGCCCTCTCTGCTCTGCCAGGGAGCTCCACGTGCTGCCCACATCACAGAACCCAGCGCCTCGTTTACAGTGCCCGAGCTGGCCCCGTGCGCTCTGGCTGCATCTGCAGTCCCTCACTGAATGTCAAATCCCTAAAAAGATTTTTTTTTTCTTCCCTCCTGGTCCTCCTGTCTCCCTGGTGGCATCCATCCTCTGCTGCAGCTCCGGTGCCCTGGAGGAGGCTGCTCGCTGGTGCTTCTCTCTCCACTCCTCTTGTTGCTTGCTTTGTGGCCAGTGCGTGCCCAGGGGCACCTGGCTCTGCCCTGCCACGCTGCTGCTTTCCTTCCTCTCGGGGGGCACAGCCTCTTCCCTGGAGCATTTCCTTGCCTTTCTGCTGCTTTTTATATTTTTTTTTTGGGGGGGGCAGATGAGAGCAAATGCATTCTCCATGGGATCTCTCTTCCTAGTGGTGCGAAGTGGTGTTGGCTGAGCTGTCCCTCTGGGGTCCCTTGTCTGGGAGCCTTCAGCGCCGTGTGCCCTGCAGCCAAAATGCAGAGCCAGCAGGCTGTTTGTGCATCCTCCGTGGCTGGTGAGCAGGACATGCGCTTACTTCTGGCATTTGAGCCGCTTCCAGGAGGGGAAGGCTGTGCAGAGCAGTGTGTGTGCAGCTTGTAGGAGCTCCAGGGCACCCCGCGGGTGGGAAAAGTGCAATATCGGTGTCCTGTGCTGGGTGGGGACCCCAGCTCTGCCTCTTCCCAGGCTGGTACCAGCGCTGGTGCTGTGCAGGGAGGGTTGGGCAGGGCTCAGCCATGAGGCTACTGCACCTGGGCTGGGTTTGGGTGCAGAAATGTCACCTCCCTGGCAGGGGACATCTACATGCTCCCAGGGCGCTGGGGTACTTCTGCAGCATTAACCATTTTTTGGTGATTTTTTTTTTGGTGTTTTATTGGGCTGAGGAACAGTGGGGGGTGAGCAGGGGTGGTGGGACACCAAGGGGACCTGGCAGGGGCCAGATGGACACGAAAACTTGACACTTGTGTGTTGTAGGCTGCTCTGTAACCGGGGGAATCGTGTACATATGGAAGTGATTCACGTCCGTGTCGCGTGCCTATGGATATTGTCAGCGTGGGTGGCTGCCCAGTGGGGGAACTGGTGCGGCACCCGAATCATGTATCTCACTGTAATCAATAAATCGGATTTATTTTTTACGTGAAAAAAGCGATGGGAGGGGGTTTCTCTCGCCTGTGCAGGCGAGCAGGAGCTGTGGGAGGATGTGAGGGGACTCATTTGGGCTGCAGGGAGTAGGTGTGGGGCAGCCGTGTGCCAGGAGCACCAGGGACTTGCTGCAGCTTTTGGGATCTGTTTTTGGATCAGTTTTTCTCTGCAAATATCACGCAAGCACAAGGCTGAGGGGTGCCAGTGTGTAAAACAAGCTGGGATCTAGTTACAGGAGAATCAGTTATCCTATGAAATCATAGTAGTAAAAAAAAAAATCATCTTTAATACTTTCCAAAAAAAAAAATCAATGGAACAAAAATTACATCAAACGACCAACCGAAGAAAACCTTTCACAAGAAACAGCACATTCCCGAGCACAGGGACGTACAATGAGCCCTCGGCTGGTGCCCATCCCGCACTGGAGATGCCGCGAGTGCAGTCCATGGCACAGGGGCTGGCCCTGCAGTCTTTTTGGGATACGCCAGCCCCAGGGGTGTGAGGGCTGGGTACCGCTGCAGCCAGCAGAGCTGCGGGGATGTCTCTGTGCCTGCAGCCTCGGGGCAGGCTCCCCTGCTCCCCACAGCAGGGAGGAAGGGTCCACGGGCTGTCTTTTTTTTTTTTTCCCCCTGTAGAAATGGACGTTAATTTTTTTTCTTGGATTTCTTTTTGCCAAGTGAGGGCGTGCTGGCAGGCCTGGCTGCACCCCCTCATCTCTCAGCCAGCCTCGCGGGGAGCAGACGCAGAAGAGGGTTTGCACCAACCGAACCATCCCACCGGGCAAACCATCGCCCTGATGCGAGTCCTTGGCACCAGAGCTGGCTGCGAGGTGCCACCTGGGGCTGGGCAGTGCTAGTCCTTCCGTGCCTTCTCCTCCAGGGCTGCTGCAGTGCCTGCTCTGCTCCTCCCCGGGACCGGGCAGCCCAGGCTGTGAGGAGATGCACGGTGTCGTCGGGGGGAATGCTCCGTGGCAAGGAGGCCTGGTTAGTCACTGGCATCCCACGAGCATCCTCCGTGTCCTGGCGATGGCCAGAGCATTTCCCCTCCGTCCACAGCAGGAACAAAAAGATCCAGCCAAATCCCACCCCAGCACGGGGAGGAGATGCTGCAAACCGGGGCGCGGGGGAACGCCAGCCTCCTTCGGGGTGGGGACACACACACGTGTGCTTCCCTTCTCAGCTCCGGGACGAGTCCCTTGGTTAAAACATCACCTCCTCGCAGCTGCCGTAGTCGCTCTCCACCATGTCAGAGCCCTCGTAGTTGGGGGGCGGCAGGGGCTGGGCGCGGAGGCCGGGCTGGTGGTGGCCCACCACCTCGCAGTCGGCGTAGGACGGCTGCGCCACGCTCAGCCTCATGCTCACCCGCTTGTAGCCGGGTTCGGGCTGGTAGGGGACCCCTTCGCCCTGCACCAGCTGGGCCGGGTAGTAGCTGATGGCCGTGTACTCGTTCTGGCACTGGGAGGCTCCCATCTCCACCGGCCCCAGCGGCAAGAAGTCCTCCAGGTTCTGGTTGCTGTAGCGGGGAGGGATGGGGGCCCGCTTGTTGCTCTGGTCCAGCGGGAAGGGGAAGCCCCCGTACAGAGCCACCGGCTCGGCGTCGGCCGGAGGAGGGGGCGGCGGGGGGAGAGGAGGGTGGGAGGAGGAGGCGGGGGGGGCTTGGATGATTTCGTAGTGGGAATACTCCTGGACGTCCGAGGAGAGGTAGCGGGGCGGCCAGTAGGTTGTTTCTGCTGGGTAGACTGGAAGAGAAGAGAGCCGTGTTAGCTGCGGTGCGTGCCCCGGGTTGGGGTTTTCCCTCTCCTGCCCTCCTGCTCATTTCCCAGTGTGTAACCCTGAGCCTGCAGGAGATGGGGTGGAGGGGAGAGAGGAGCTGTGGGGACTGGGGAGCTGCAGTGTCTGCCCCAGGAGAAGATGGGATTTCAGGGCACCACTACCTGTGCCAGGGCAGTGCTCCCACCAGGCTTCTGGCACCCCCTGCCCTAGCACCCAAACGACACGCTTCAGCACGCCACACGGATGCAAAAAGCTTCCACAATGAAGGGGTGGTGCAGAGCAAGTGATCCACTGGATCCCTTTCCCTGTACTTCACTCTTGTGAGCTCTCTTTGGCAGCTCTCCTGGCTGCTGAGCTCCTGGGCAGGGACAGAGCAGGGACCTGGCTGCCTGGAGCCGCATTTCCCTCCGGGCATGATCTCTCTGGCTGTGGGCGTTTGGTGTGAAAGACTCCACTAAAACTCCCGCTGACTTTTAGGATCTTAAATATTCCCCACTGGCTTCAACATCCCCTTTTACAGGGACTTCTGACCCTGGGCACGTGGGAATCCAGGCTGTGCATTAATGGATCCCCTGCTGCTTGTGTAGGGAGCTGAGTGAATTAAAGCTGAAAACGGGGGTGTAGAGGTGACACCTGGGGAAGGGAAGAGCCAGTGGAGGGACTAGGGCAGCATTCACCCACATTTTACTTTGCTCTGCCCAACACCGTTGCTCTCCCATGTTTGCAAATGAGTGACCACCTCACAGGGGTAAAGGGACCTGGCAAGAGCAAGCCAAAACTGCAGCTACTGACCCATCTCCTCCCTGGCCCAGGTGCACTTGACGAAGGACTCGTTGTCGGAGTTGGAGGGGGGCGCGGCGGGGGGCAGGTTGGGCGCCACGCTGCACACGATGGTGCCCCGGTGCTTGGGGGCGTTGGCCGAGTTGAAGGTGACGAACTCGGGGGTGCCGCTGGCTTTGCGCTGCTCCGGCGTGGCCCGGTCCAGGTTGTTGTGCGCCGTGTCGCCGAGGATGTTGAGCTCGATGGGGGGCACGGCTTGGGTGCCCACACCCACGCTCTTGGAGAACTCGCTCTTGGAGAGCAGGTCGGGGTCCTCCCGGGCCACCGGCTTGTGTGCCTTGGCGCGGTGGCGGTAGCGCTTGCGGATGAGCACGAAGGCCACGGCCAGGATGGCCACCCCCAGCACACCGGCCACGATCTCGGCGATCTCCTCCGGGCCCACCGCCCACTGCGTGGGCACGATGGCGGGGGTGATGATGGGCTGCGTGCAGTAGTCCCCCTGGTAATCCGACGGGCAGATGCAGTGGATGGAGCCCTGGGCGCTCACGCAGCGCCCCGCGTTGCGGCACGGGTTGTCTTGGCACTCCTCGGCCAGCTTCTCGCACCTGGGAAGGGATGGGGACAACATCAGCCTGGGGAAGAGGCTAAAGCTGCACCATCCTGCTCAGAGCTCTGGTTTATACCACCTGGGGTGTCCCCTCCGGGCCTCTGCCTCCCTTGCCAGCCGCCCGTGCTACCTGCCTCTCCTGCCTCTCCTGGCAGAGGGCAGGGATCCTGGCATTTACAATAGTGCTTTTCATAAGGAGGCTGCAAGGTTTACAGGATGGTCATTTTTTGGCATTTTATGGAGCATATGCAGAGCTGAGACTGAATTCTCTGTCCCGCTCTGCCCTGTAGAACCTAAATGTTTTCCTTTCTCACTCGCCTGCAGGACAGGGACTTTCCCTTCCAGCAGTAATGATCTCCCTGTGCTAGAGGGAATATGCACTGGTTGATTTTCCTTCCTTCCTTTTTTTTTTTTTTTTTTTTTTTCTCCTATTACTCTTACTGCAGAGACACCATGAAGTGTTCACTTCTCTTATTTCTTAGCCATTGCGTTAGGATGTGTGAGCCGGCGTGTGTGCCATTCCAGGTATCACACTGCCACCTAATGCCCAGTTACATTCCCTTATCCAAGAGTTGCAGTGATGATTTCTGCCTTCATATTTGTTAAAAACACCACTTTTCACTCCAGCTAAGTGACTCGGGGCCCCACGTGGGGCACCTCTGGTGGCGCTGGGCTGGAGGCAGGGGCAGGGAGCTTGGGGAGGGTGCGTGGCTGCTGGCAGGGTGACACCAGCAGCAGAGCAGCCTCTGGGCTTGGTGAGTTCTCCAGCTGTGGATATTTGGCAAGCACTCGCTGACATTTAGTGTAGGGGAAACATATCCGGGCTGTAACATTGCTGGTGAGAACTCCAAAGTGGTGTTAACCATAGGGTTCGGGGCCAAAGCCAAACACTGTGATGTCTGGTGATAACAGGGACCAGTAGCACATCATGTTCCCAGCCCCCCACAGGACACCTCCTGGCCTTACCTTTCGCCCAGGTACCAGTCGGGGCAGTGGCAGGAGTAGCCGGTGGCGGAGAGGACGCAGGTGCCCCCGTGCAAACAGGGCTTGGAGTCGCAGGGGCTGTCTCCTAGCTCACAGCGCTCCCCAGAAAACAGCCCGGAGCAGATGCAGGTGTAACCTGGAGGGGTGAGAGGGAGCTGTAAGGAGACTGCATCCGCATGGAGGAACTGGTGAGAGCAGTGTGGAGCAGTGCCCGGCACTCATAGCACAAATGGAGGGCTCAATCCAGCTGCCTGAGCACACGCACTTGGTGCTGCTGGATGTTTGTGGGGCACCCAAACCATCCTTGGAGCACTGGTACCCACGTTACAGGACCTGGAGCAGTTGCTGGAGGCTTTGGGCGCTGCAGAGCTGTTTAGGGAAGTGAAGCCTGCCCTCTCCTGACACAGTGCCTCTCCAGACAGCACATGGCTTTATTGCACGGAGAAACTGGGGGACAAACTTAGATTAAATGAAGGGGAGCCTGGTGGGCTGCATCAGCATTTCTGGCCCTGCTAAAAGCGATCCTGTGCAACCCATTGTTCTCTGCAGCCTCGGTCCTACGAGTCCTGGCGGTGCGAGGCGCCTGTCTCGGCACGCCTGGCTTCTCCTGCCTGCAGGAGGTGACTGGTCGCAGCCAGAGGAACCCGGCACACCTGGGGACGTGGAGGGGCTGCTGCTGCCTGGGTTTTGGGCTGCTGCTTCGTGGAGCCCAAAAATGGGAACATCCCTGGCTCTGCTGAGCTCCTGCCAGTCTCTCAGCTGGTGGTGCTGTGCGGGAAGGTCAGGCTTGCCACGCTGCAGCACGCTCCAAGTCTTGGCTGCTCAGCCACGAGCCAAACTTCCCCGCTTTAGAGCGCAGTGCGAGCAAGGGCAGACCTGTTCCCACACGCGTGCCAGGGGCTGTGCAGCCAGGACGTGCCGGCGCTCGCTCGGCAGGTGCTGGACATCGCCTGTGGGGCTGCGTGTGCGCACACACACGTGTTCCTGGGCGCGGGGCTTGCCTGCGTTCGCCCTGTGCTCCCGCTTGATGTGGTGCCTGGTCTGGCTTTGACCCTTTCGGCACAGACGCGTTCTCACGTGGCTCGTGGCCCACCCGGGCTCGTTTGCCCAGACGTGCCTTAGCCTGTGCGGGTAATCCCGTGCCTGCGGTCCCCGGGCAGAGCTCTGCACAAACTCGCGCTGTGTGCCCGCGGTGTCCGGCAGTGAGCCCGCGGGGCTGCAGGAAGCCGCACGCCCCGGCTAACCTCACTGCTACGCCTCCCTCCAGCAACCCCTGCCCTGCAGAAATGCCCTGTGCAATCCTGCTGGGGCTGCATCCCACAAGAACCCTGCTGGGCAGCTGGCCGTTTGCAGGGGAGGCTGTTCACGCTGGGAGGAAGCTATGGGAAGGGCGCTGGGTGATTATTAACAAGGGAGGGATTTTCTTTCCCCTTTGTATCCTCTCTGCAAAGCTTGCAGGTGCTGCCTTGACCCACTGCAGAAGTGAGTTTTCACCTGGAGGGCTTTGAGCCTCTTCCAGGCCAGCCAGAGGGGATTTCCAGGCAGAGGGGTGCAGGGCTAAGGCTGAGGCACTAGGGCCAGCCAGGATAACTGGTGTGGACAGCTTGCGTCAAACGAGTTCACCTGAGCCAGGCAGCTGCTGAGTCGGCAGGGCTGGGGATCTCGTTCCCAGCAGCTGCGGGCAGGGCAGGAGGAGCTCTGCTCCCTCCTCCGGTCCTTGCTTGCTCGCTGGGCAGGGTTTGGGCTTTGGCAGCTGACCCAGGGAGCGCAGAGCTCCTGCCCCACTCCACAGCCTGCAGAGCACCCCATGCCCTGAGGGTGCCCGTCTTGGGCGATGGGGTGCTGTGGGGTGCATCTGTGCTGGCAGCTGGGATGTGGGTGCACGGCAGTGGCATGAGGGGGGAGCTGGGAGGGGGTCCTCACCCTGGGATGAGCCCTTTTTGTGATGCAGCTGGTAGAAAAAGCCCTTTGATGGGAGCTGGGGCAGTGGGGAGCCTGTCTGGGGCAGAGCCTGGTGCCAAACCTCTGCTGAGAACCCGCACCCCTGCGTTAAGCTGCCGCTCTCGGATGTCAGCTCGCTGTTTTCCCATATCCTTTCCCATAGCCCCGGGGAGTCACCGAGTGCAGTGGGGATAGATGAAGATCTTGGCTTGTTCCTGCCCAGATACCATCGCTGCATGATCCCATCTCGCCCAATTCCGACCTCACTAATGGCTCCTTAAGCAAAGGGGATGTAGCGGGGAGGGTGGAATTTCTATTTGCGTCTGAATTTTTGGCAAAGGTGCTCTCTCCTAGGTCATGCACGCTCCTTAGAAATGTGCTCCTGCCCTCTGGGCCACGGCCCTCTGCTGAGAGCCAGGAGGGTGATCTCATGGCCCCGGCTGCTCCTGCACTGAGCCAGCTATCCCTTGAGTTCCCCTGAGACCAGGGACCTCTCACTCAAGAAGCCCCTTGATAGGGACAAATGAAGAAGTTGTGACTTTCCCTTCCCTCGTTGCTCCCCTGTAGGATATCCACGTACCTCCTCCGTGGGTTTCGGAGCACATCCCGTTGTTGAGGCACGGATTGCTGCTGCAGGCACCGGTCGGGGAGCAGCACTGCTTTATCCCCACCTCCTCCACCACTTCCTTGGATTGCCCTTTCCCAGGCAGGAGGACCACTTCCCTGCCGTTGATCGCAAGCACATCCAGGCAGCCCCTGAACCCTCGTGTGAGTCTCTGGGACTGGAGGGGTTGCCGGAGGCCCCCAAAAAGCAGGTCTCGTCTGCCCTGGGAGATGCCACAGGTCCCTGGCAGCTGGAGAGAGGCGTTCCCCAGGCCGTCGATGAGCAGGCGGACAGACGTGTTCTTCACCTCCAGGAAGACCGAGTGCCACTCGCCGTCGCTCACGAGGCGCGAGGAGGAGAGGTTCCCAGGGTAGCTGCCCCGACAGCTGTAGCCGAGGTGAGGCACCCCGTTCACCACCTGCAAAACACATCCCAGGGGGCCCGGTTAGCTGTGGTACAGGTGGGTGGTGTTTGTGGGGGCTCTCCGCATTCCTCTTGCTACTTAGTCCCCTCTCTCCCTGCCTGAGCATTGTGAGTCAAGAGGGATCCCAGTTTTTAGGCCCCAAGAATTACCAGCTAGGCAAATACAGCCCCTGAAATCTCTTTTATTTTACAAACCACCTTCATCTTGCTGGCACAACTTCACCCATGGCCCTTTCCTGCAAGCACTGGGAGGGAGGGGAGCTCACCTTTCCCTATAACAGGGTGCAGAGCCATGTGATAGTGCTGCCGCAGCTGCTCACCCTTTCCTCCCCCTTCCCGAGCCTAATCAGAGCCCTGGTATTCAGGCTGTCCTAACTCCATCACCGGGCACAGATGGGCTCTTGTTCTGAGCCACGTGGCCTTCATTCTTTTCTCACTGTCTCGCTAGCGGTGGGGAAGGTGCTGGAGTGGTTCCCGCTTTGGCATGGGTGAGGGATGCTGAAAGGACCTCGACGAGGAGCAGCACCCGGCAGCTTTCTCTGGGGGAGGCAAGGAGAAGGCAGGAGGCAGAGAAAGGGATTCCTGTTGTACCCAGCTCCTCATCAGCCTGCCAGAAACCCAGGCCAAAGCTGCGAATAGGGGTTGCAATCCAGTCCTTGCTCTCCAGCAGATGGGAGGGAGACAATCAAGGTACTGAGCTTCCAAAAGCAAACCATGGTCTCCTGCACTGAACTGGGCCATCAGGAATTCCTGTCTGCAACCCAAGATTCCTCCTTAAAACTCATGGAAGAAGGAGGGAGGAAAGGTTAGCTGTGTTGTTTTGGGATGAACTCAGAGGTAAATCCCTTTTGCACCTTTTCTCCCCAGTGCTCTGTTGATAAAAGCTCTCCTTCACAGAAGCCAAGAGCCCATGGAGAAGGAGAAATGACAGAACAAGACATTCACAGAAAACCTGCACAGCTTGCTGCTGGGAATGCCAAGCAGATGAGATCTCCACTGGGGGACATTAGAGACGACGAGTGGCGATGCTTGGAAGAGGCTAGAGCAAGAGGAGTGATCATGGGCTACACCAAACTGTAGAGGAACCTACATCTGGTATGATCGGGCTGCTCTGGAGGGGCCAAATGCAGAGTGGGACATCAGTTCACTCTTAGAGAAGTCTGTGGCACAAACAAAGCTCAGTGAGAGGAGAGTGCACACACTGAAAGAAGCAGGGATGACAAAGGGAAGGGAGAACTGGATGCAGCCGGCACGTGCTGTGGAAGGGCCTCAGGGCAACGTGTGTGTGAATCCCTTTGCACGATTGGCAGGCGCACCAGAGAGCTTTGTCACTTTGCTTTATCTGGAGGAAGGTGATTTCACTTCAGATGGGTCTGTAGATTGGGCTTATCGATTTCTGGGGCTGGGAGACAGCTGAGAACTCGATTCCCTGGAGCAAGAGCTGATGGACTGCCAAGTCCTTCCCAGCGTGCCTGGCTTGCCATCCTGTCCCTGCGTCCTGCTTCTGAATATCGGTAGAGCTTAGCAACTGGAAGAGCGATGACATGCATACCCCTGGGAGAAGCTGTCCTCTTTACCAAATCTTCAAACTGTCAGCTAAAATTCTTTCACAGCTTTGTCTCATACCTAGAACAGGGCAGTCCCCAAAGCTTAAAATCCTGAGGGCTTCCTTCAGTCATTCAGGCCAGACAGACCCTTCTTGAGGAGCTACATTTCTCTCATCAGCCCTTTGCAGCATGGCTTAAAGTCCCAGCTGGAGGTGGGCACAGGACATGGAGATGATGTTTCTCTGCTTTTGTCCGTAATGGTTAGGGATGTGACAGCAGGAACAACACATACTTTGGGTTGGTCTCTGGGTGTTGGCCACTGCACAGCTTCCTGTCTGTGTCGGTCTTTTGTAGCAGTGGGAAGAAAAGTGTTTCAAAATAGGAAGATGGGATTGCGAAACCATGAGAAGGGACGAGGGAGCTCGGGGACAGGATGAACACTTGCAGGTGGATTTGCAGTGTGTAGATCACAATGTGATTAGTCTCGGGGATAAGTCTCAGTAAGCTGATAAGAACATCCCGTGATCTTGGTCTCCAGTTAGACCAATTTTAATTGGCGGGGAATATACAACCCCCCTATTCTTTATTCATCTGCTTTTCTAGATCAATTACTAGAGATGTTTACTACTGCATCTTCTTTCTCTGGTTCCCTTCCCTGAAACAATAAGTGCTTTTTACACTGGAAAGAAGCCCTGCATGTTGTGATCCGTACCTCCAACACTGCCTGGTCGGTCCCGTTGGCGGAGAACACCACGGCGTGCTGCTGGTGGGTCTTCAGACGAAAGTGCATGTGCCAGGACCCCGCCTGAGAGTGCTGGTACCAAATGTAGCTGTGGCCTCCGAACCTCACAGCCGTTCCTGGAAGCAGAGTGAGCAAAAGGTCTCATCTTTGTCACATTTTGAGGCTGTATGCAGCCTTGCCTCTTTTCTCAGCCGGACACCATAGCTGCCCAGCAACAATCCTGCCCACAGCAACCCACGTGCAGCTGCACTGCAGCTCCCACAGCTCCCATTTGGTGTTCCCAGTATTTCTTTTGGGTACACAACTGTAAGGCAGTCCTGCAATAGCAGCCCTGCGAGTTCTGTCCCACAGCAGCTTCTGGGTGCCCTCAGAATGGTCTACAACACCCTTGGATTTCCTCTTCCTTTAACATGTCTTTATCTTAGCCTACAGTATCTCCCTACCTTTCCTGCCCAAGTGATGTGTTAACCTCTGTTGTCTCATTACTTGAAGCACTCTAGAGTACACATAACAAATATGCTCTACTTTCCTCCCCTGGAATTTATCAGTTAGTCTCTATTTTTCTGAGCCCTGAATAAACACAGGAGCTCAAAGATTGAAAATCTAATCACTGAGCTTTGTTACTTGCTAGGTATGAGTGACTTTTGCCAATATTACTGTTGCTTAATTAAATGCTACAGGAGATTCATAGGAAAAAAAAAAAAGAGTGAATTATTCAAGCTCTAAGAGGTTTATATTGTGGCGTGCTACCAAGAAGGATTGCTCACCATTGCAAGAACAGATTTGCTCCAGGCTGTGCCGCGGGGTGAGGACGCTGAGCCGGGCAGTGCTGTAAGTAGACATCATGCCTGGATCCAGCTGAATGGTCTCCTTGCAGACACGGTGGGCACAGTCTGACCCATGGCACGGCACGTGAATTGCCTTCTTCATCCGCAGTCCCACAAGCTGGTCCATCTCCCCCGCTGAGACGGTGATCTTGTTTGCCAGCACCCGAGGCTCATACAGGGAGCCGTGTGGCTCTCCGACGGCCAAGAGCAGGTCCACCCCATCAGAGGTAGCTGCTGGCTGCAGGCTGGCCATGTGGATGTTCTGGCGCCGGGTGACAAGGACGTTTCCTAGAAACCTCTGCAAGTTGCGCCAGTGATCCCCCACGAACTCCTCCGGGGAGAGGTGTCGGAAGTGCAGCACCACCGCCTTGTCCAGCGCCTCCTGCGTGAAGCACCACACGTGGACGTTGACGCTGGTGCTGGCGGTGAAGGTGCCATCGCTCACCGTCACGTTCAGGAGGTAATGGCCATGGGGAAGCTTGTCCCCAGCGATGATCTTTCCGTCTGTGGCCCCAACGGAGAAGCGTCCCTCCCGGGGCACTTCTGCCACCAACGTGTACACCAGCGTGTCGTGGGGGTCCCGGTCCGTGGCGTGGATCTTGCCCAGCACGCCGCCTCGGAAGGCTGCCTCGTTGGTGGTGATGAATATCTCCAGGGGAAGGGCGGAGGGGGCGTACTGGCTCTGCTCAGTCACTTGGATGTTTATGAATGCTGATGAGGACAGGGGAGGGATGCCGCTGTCGGAGACCTGACAAAGAAAAGAGAAGGACCTGTTACAGCCGTGTGCTGCTTGCCATCCCCGGAGGGGCTGAGGCTTTGCCAAAGGACAGTGCCCTTCGCACAGGCAGCAATGGGTGGGAGCTCTCAGGCAGCAGGAATGGAGAAGGAGCAGGAAAAATTGGCAGCAGCGTTGGACCTCTGCCTGGGGCTGGCTTCCCGAGGGAAGCGGCAGCGTGCCTTCCAGCCTGGAGACTGATTGAGTCCTTCTGTTCGTGGTGGGGTCGCGCTCATTTCCGTGTGCTCATCAGCGGCTGAGGCACACCTGAGTGGCTCTGATTTCCTGAGGATTAATCATCTTTAGAGCTGCTGCCAATCTCTGGTGTTCCATACGTAACCGGGTGTACAGAGATAGATAAAAGCAGTTACGCACGTTGACACATTTGCTCACCTTCCGGACTGTTTAAGCCCATACCCCACCTCTGACAATGTCTGCCTAGCATGAGCCAAGGAAGCTCAGAATAGAAAAATGTGAATAATCAGATTACAGGGATAAGTCTCTCCCTCATCTTAGGCAGTTAGTGGTTGAGGTTTGTAATAATAATAGTATCTAGCTTTTAGAATGACTGCTAGTACTGGAGAAGTATGTACTTTACATGTTATTATGCTATTGTTTGTAAAACACTATCCTTAGTGATAACATTGAAAATTAATTCATTTACACTGCCACAGTAGAAACCCTCAAAAAGAGGAGCTTAAATCACTTCTAGGATACTTGGAGAAAATTTGCACGATCACTTTAAACTGAAGTTGCTAGAATTATGCTGGGAAAAGCATCTGCCTATGGACACTGCTGACAGAGCACTTCTCATGATCATGTTAACTGATTTTATCAATGCCGAGGCTGGTTCCCAGCTTCTTGTGGGCAGACTTTGCAGAGCAATGAGCTCTGGACCTGACTCCAAACTGCAGAATTTTTTCCTGGATTGGATTTCTTCAATACCAGGGAATTTCCCATCCGGCTGTGCCATCCTAATCTCATTGTGTTGCTCCTAAACCCCGCTGGGAGTCCAGCTACCAGGACAGAAAGGCAGGCTTTACCTGGACTTGTAAAAGGTACTGCTCTTTCACTCTTCTGTTCAGGATGGATGATGTCACCAGCAGACCATTTTGGGTGACATCAAAAGCCTTCCCATCATTGCCCTGTGTAATCTGGAATGAATACGGCGGCCCATTTTCTGGCGAGTCTCTGTCACTCATGATCAGCTCCAGGACACTTGTTCCCACGGGGGCATTCTCCTGAAATGCAGAAAGATGCTAGGGAAGAAAGAGAAGCAAGGAGACAAGGCCCAGGGGAACTCATATTGCTCCTAGGGCTGCTGGATAAGGAACAGCCCCCCGGCTTACCTGCACCACCACGCTGTAGTTGAGCTGGAAGAACCGAGGAGGGTTGTCATTGACAGTCAGACACATGGACACGCACGGCGACATCGCTGGACTGAGCAGGGTGGCCGTTGTCTGTGGCTCGAACTGTCAGCGAGTAGCTGGAGATCTGGAGGATTCATAGTACATGGTCACTTGGAGAAGTGCAAGAGTGGTGGCTTTTTCATGTTCATCTTTTACTACTACAGCTTGATAAATAGCTTTGCCCTCAGCTAGTGGTCTCCCTCTGTAAATCAGCACCTTGCTGCAAAAAATCAGCCTCACAGTAGCTGCAGAGCAGGGAAACAACTTGCCAAAGATGGATGAGGCCCAAGCTGAGCAAACATCTGTCAGCAGTGGTTTGAGCTGCTACTGCTTTATGGAAGAGATTGTCCAGATGGCCTTTCCAGCTCCTGCCCATACCTATTTTCTGTAATGCTCTGATGAATATGGGCATAAACCAGCCACATTAGTTTCCGTTTTGGGGCTGATGCTCACCCAGACAGCTTGAAGTACTGGTAGATCACAGCACAGAGCTGTGACCACTGAAGTCTGTATTGCCTTCTCCAAAGCCCAACCTTTCTACACCTATGGGTCTAGGAAATGAATGAATGAATGAGAGTTGCTTTCTGCTTATGGCATTACCAGTAGATCATTCAGAAAACAGCAGGCAGCTGAATATACTGTGATCCCTTGGGCTTCTGTGACACGTCAATTTTAATTTTTCTGTTTCCATTTTCTTGAACTCACCTCTTCCCTGTCCAGATGCTTGGCAATACTTATCTGCCCGCTTTTGGGCTGAATGGCAAAATGTCCCAGTGGGTTCCCTTCCACAATTGAATATGTGATCTGGTTGTTCATTGCTCCATCCAAGTCGTCAGCTGACACCTGTCAGAAGAAAAAAACAACTAGGACTCCTGGCCCCAAAGGGCCTGGCCATGGGGGAATCTCCAGGGACGTGACCTCTTTGTAATTGAAGGGTATTGGTTTGAGCTTGCTTTAAATTAGGAGGAAAGAAGGTGTTTTACATCAGTGTCATTCATGAGTTTTCTCTGGGAAAATAAAGATAAGCAAAGCTACAGCATTGGCTTTCTCCTTGTTCCTTTCCTGACCTCACCATCCCTGTGATAGTTAACTCAGGCTGGGCAGTGGATTCCACATGGCAATACCCTGACTCCTCTACTCTGCACTAGGGAATCCCCTGCCTTCCTCAGGCCTCAATGGTGTGGGCTATTGGCAGACATTTTAGCTCTTTTGGGAGGTCCTCAAAGCTCCTGAGCCCTCCTTAGGTTTTCCCAGCTTCATTCAAAGGTGCCTTCTGAAGCAAAGTGTCAGCCCTGTCTGTGGGCTGCTGGGAGTCCTTGCAATCATCCGTTTTAAAGTCATGCCTAAATCTTAGGTGCTGAATATCACAAACCCACCGAACTGGCTGTGTCCAAAGCTGAGTAAAGTGCAAAGGAAGAGCAAATAATGCATAGTGCAGAGGCAAAGACAGCGGCTTTTTTTTTGTAATCATACCGTGAGGATGATTTCTCCAACTGCAGCATCCTCCCGGATATCAGCGAAGTAGGGGTCTTGGATGAACTCTGGTGCATGGTCGTTAATGTCAGTAATGTTAATCACCACCATGGTGACATCACTGAGAGAAGCTGAGCCCTTCCTTGTGCCCTCAATGGATAAGTAATACTCATGACTCGCTTCGAAGTCCAAGCTCCCATTTATGTATAAGGCACCTGCATGGGCAGATGGGCAGAAAAGGACAGAAGATACTTTAAATGAATGGTACATAAGAGTTTTTTGGAATACT